AAAGCAGAGAGGCACAAAGCCCGTTATTAAACCGTGTGAGACCACAAGGGTATATTTAAGTGCACTAAGGTGTAAATTTTCTTTTGTGATCCACATTATTTTCTTCTCAGTCAGAACTGAGAGCATTCAAGTTCTCCGGATTCAAGAGACCACATTGTTTTTTGTTGTTGTTGTTTTTTGTTTTTTACAAGGTGTGTTTGAGCTAGAAAAAGATAAGTGGAAATAGTTCTAGATGTTCTAGATTTTTTTTTACTCTGGACATTTAATTCTGCCACAGGAGAAGAGACACACCACTCTTGGTCATTTTTCCCTAAACTCATCAATCCCAATCCCCTTCTGTTCATGCCCCACCTTCCCTGTCTTTTCTTTCTTGTTTTCCTCCTTGCCTGTTAATCATATCTCATCTATCTTTTTTAATGACTCCGCTGTGCAAAGTAGTAGCTTGGTTGAGCAAACAGATTAAGGAGTAGAGGTAGCAATGGAGTGGGAAGTGAAAGGATGGATAAGTAACAGAGCAAGTCCCACAATGTACACTTGTGGTCAAGGAGTTAAGGAAAATAAATTGTATTTCTCTTCTTGTCTGCCTCCTGCCTTCTTCAAACCCTAAGCATAAGTCAAGGACTTCAATATCTTAGAGTATTGTTTATCTTGCAATAGATAAGTTTAAGTACAGAGGAGTGGAGACCAGTTTGTGAGCTATTGCACTAATCCTAGTGGTAGGAATGATGGGGTGGTTGCAATGAATGTGGAAATAAGTGGTTGGATTCTGGATATATTTTGAAGGAAAAGGCAAGACTGTCTGAAAATTTGGATGAAAGATAAGAGCCAAGGAATGACAGACAATATTAAATGGACCTGCCATAATCTAAGATGGGGAAGAGTGCAAAGGAGCTGGGTGTTGAAAGCAGGGAGCAGATCTCGGGATCAGTTTGGGACATGTTAAGCTGGATCTGTAAACAGGAGAGCTTTTGTTTTCATTGGAGTTCAGGGTGAAAGTCTAGGCTAGAGATGGAGATTTGGAAATCATTAGTGCAACATGTGTATTTGAACCATGAGATTACTTAGGAGGGACATGTAGATAAAAGAGTTCCAAGAACTGAGTCTTGGAGCAAGCCAACAAGTGGATGGGAAAATAAGGAAGACCAGGAAAAAGGGACTGACACAAATATACACTCAGGAATATATAAGTCCTTGTTTTAATTGTACTTTGGTTAGCAATTAGAGCTTATGAATATGAATGTTACTTCATTATGTGCTTTATATTATTTTTACAACTCCAAAATATGACATCGATAGTAACAACATACACACACACAAACATGTGAGGATGGGGATGTGGGTGTGCATTCTAATGAAAATAATATTAAATATATTAAATTACCTTATTTAAATGAATATATTAAAGTATATAGTACACTTTAATTCACTCTCTCATCTATAGAAAAAAATATGAAACTAATTTCAATTTTCATTATCTGTGATTTGCAGTACTATTTATATTCTATAAAATATTTCGTCCAAGTAAATATTTTGTCTTTCTTCCAGAGTCGTCTGATTGATTGTTGACTCAAGTGTTTGGATCCAGTTTAAATTTCGTACTACTATAAAATAGAGTTTAGCTATATTCTTTTTATCTAGATAATTAAATTATACTTATTACTTCCCATTTAAGAAGCTATAACTGTTAAAATATATGACATGTTTAAAGAGTAAGGCACTGAATAGGTAGATAAAATTTATGTATACTTAAAATTATTTTGTGAGTGGTGATTTTTTTTTCTATACCATACTATTTCATCCTTTCATCCTGGACACCAGCATTGGCTTTTATTATGGAAAATGAATCTTTCAGCCTTGCTAGGGGAGGTGTTCATCGTTAAAAAGACTTCAACCGATGCCTGCTACATAACTCTGCTCCAAAGAAGACTGAATTAGGAGAAAGAGGCAGAAGTTAGGATTATGTCCCATCATGGTGATTGAAGAATGTATTGGGGAGAGGAAAGGGAATATATTGGGAGGGAAAAGATGAAATGATGATGAAAAAGGTTAGGAGAGCAAACACTGGTAATGAGGAGGGAACCAAAGCAACTTGTGTGAATAAGATGGGGTGTAAAAGTAGCCTTGTAAAAGGTGCTAAGAAAATTTGAATACCTTAAGAGGGAACTTTTATCAGAGTCCTTGTGTAACATGATCAAGGGTTTACAGGGGATCTCAGTCAAAACAGTGAGAGGGTATATCTAAAGATGCTCCGTCCCTACATCTGTATCTCCAGAGGTGCTTGTCACAAATGCTACACCCTACTAAAGCAGAATCTCTTGATGTTGCCAAGGAATCTGCATTTTTTCAGGAAACATTGAGGCCTATCCTCAACCCCAAGGGAATCTCATTGTGACTGCTAAAATTTGAGCACCATTCAACTAGGGCATAAGTAAAGAAGAACATGTGCAGAATACATATTAGGAATGTATGAATTAGAGAAGAATGGAGTAGAGACTGTCAGGGAATTTGATAATGAAAGTAGTAATATTCAGGAAAACAGTAACAGTGAACTTCTGGGAAAGAATAATAGTAAAGAAGGAAGGCAACAGTGATAGGAGTAAAATGGAATGGATAGAAGTGAGTGCATGAGAGACCAGAGAAGACACATTCAGAAAGCAGTCATGTGAAGAGAGAGATGGAAGACCCCACAAGGCCATGAGCATTCTAGCTTTCCAAAAGCTAAGCCATGGGGAGTCTGTAAATAGCCATAAGAGGACACAGGAAGCAACCTCTGATGACAGAATAGCAGACCTGCAAAGAGGGATCACATAGCAGCGACCACATGGCTCTGCATTGGGTCTGTAAGTAGGTCCTGCTTTCTGCTCTCGGAGCTGCTGGGTATCTAACGTTGTTTAAATTCTGGTGACACGTATGTGTCTTTAGAGAATCAATTTCTTTGCAAAAATATTGTGGAGCTGTTTGAGTCTATGATGGATTAAACTTTATATCCAGCTTGAGTTCATGATTTCTTTTCTAAAGTCCTTACTACACTCCTGCATGAGATCTGTCTTAACCACTCAAGAAGTCAGAAAGAGACACAAAGAATTGGCAAGGACTGCTGTTTCCTTTTCCCTCCTCACAATTGTTGTTTTTCATTTACTTTAACTTGCATTAAGATATACATAATAGCAAATTAAGGTATGTTTTATTTGAAGCCCTCACTTCTGACATTTAAAAGTCTACAAGTAAAAAATTGAGAGCAAATCTCTGTAAGGGTCATAAACTAGTAGTGTGTTTCTTTAGCCTTCTTCATAAACCTGATACCTTCATTGACTTATTGTTCAATCTTCTGAATAGCCCAAGCCTCAAAGGGCATTTCTTTTAATCTTTTACTAAATAAGTAAATAAATAGGAGGAATATTCATTATGTGTTTGCAAAAAATAAAAATAAAAAAAACTGTTTTCTTAAAGATTCTGGTAATTTTCCCCTGAAAAATCACTAGTGTGAGAGGAATAGAACAGAGAATGCTTCCTAGATGTCAGTTTTTCTTAGTGGTGTCTGAGGTTTCAAGGTGAGAAATAAAATTATGAAATTTAAATAATTGAGCTGGTAAAAATGTAGTAGACATATTCAGTAAATACCTAACATTGACTGCAAAGTGTTTTGAAAAAATGTCTTGACATTTGGGTATAATGGGATGTAAGCAAGTTTACACCAATCTTGTGAATGCACGAGTCGTTACTTCCCTCTTCTTTGCTTCTAGCAACTGTTTTGCTGTTTTGCAGCTTTCCTGCTGGAATGCCTTTTCCTAATGAAATGGATCAAAGATTCCTTCACTCTAAAAAATCCCTACTCCCATAACGTGCTTGATTAGTTCCTAGATGATTATTATAAAAGTCAATAATTCTCAAGCCTGTAATCCCAGCACTGTGGGAGGCCAAGAGGGGAGGACTGCTTGAGGCTAGGCATTCAAGACCAGTCTGTGCAAACATAGTAAGACTGGTCTCTATGAATTTTTTTTTTTTTTAATTTAGTCAGGTGTGGTGGCTTATACTTGTAGTCCCAGATACTCAAGAGGCTGAGGTGGGAGAATCACTGGAGACTGAGAGTTAGGTGATGCAGTAGGCTCTGATTGCACCACTGTACTACAGCCTGGGTGACAGAGTGAGATCCTGTCTCTTAAAAAAAAAAGTCTATTAATTCTTTAGTTAATAATCAGTTTTAGATTTCTTTGTATGTTAAATGGAAAACTATAAGAAGAAAAAGTATCATGATAAAATAACACCATGAAATAGCATTCTGCTACTAATGTCCTTTTTCTATCCAATATATTTGTCCATGTGCCCACTTGACATTCATTAATTTTCTTCTCATTTCTCAGCTATTAAAATTTACTTCCTCCACAGTCCTCACCTAGTAACATGGGCGGGGGGGGGGGGGAACTTTAGGTAGTAGTTATTGAATGCTATCTCTGTGCCAAGCACAATTTTAGGCACTTTATATGAATGACTTCTAATGTCACACACCTCATAGAATCATTTGAATGATGATTACCAGTTTCCTGATGAGGAAGAAAGCTGCCGAAGGTCACCCAGCTAGTTAGTGACAAGCCAGGATTTAAGTTGAGATTGGCCTGAATATAAAAGCTCCTTTTTCCCACTGGCTTACGTGGCCTCAAGTTCATTAGAAATCAGTAGTAATACTAATTTGTTTTGAATACTATGACTTGACATGATTACATATGTGTCATGTCAAGTATTAGTATTAGTAATCATGTCAAATATTAGTATTAATCTTCCCAGTGTTTTAGCAAAGACAAGATTACCTAGTTTTAAAAAGTATTTTTGTCACCTTACATAAAAATTGTTAGTGCGTTATTAAAAATCTCTTAGGACAGTTCTTATCTGATCAATAGGAAAGAGTGATACTTGGAGTTTTGTTTATCATTTGCCATCTGGTATTAAGGGCTGAACATCCGTTATGCTGTTTGTGTAACTTATTTTTATCTTTGTTGTTGCAGTACCGGATACCAGTTTATTTACTATTCACCTGAAAACACAGCCAAAGCAAAAGAAGTGCTCAGCAACATCAATCAACTACAACCTCTTGTAGCAACCCATGCAGACCTACTGCTTAATTCTGCAAGCCAGCATTCTCCAGACAGCCTGAAGAATTCTTTAAAGATGCTTTCAGAAAAAGTAAGATCCAAATCATCGCGATAGTTGGGAAAATGAAATACTCAAATCCCCATCGGTCTGGCTTTCTGCATACATTGCCTTTCATAGCATCTGGAAATGTAAAATAGAGTAGGTTAAAAAGTAAGCTTCAAAGTGTTGCCACAGGATCAAAATGAATTGGCCTCATTCTCTGTTCAAATCTTACTGAGCACTCTCTTCTTTTTTCCTAGTAGGAAATGAAACCTGTTATTGGTTAGTATATATCTTCTCTTTTCCTTGGCATTTTTCATTTTCTTTGGTTTATGGTCTTATTAAGTGAATTAAATGAGATTTTGAAAATTACTTTATTTTCCTCTGGTGATCACCTAATTTTTATGCATATAAAGCTTTACATTTGAATAGGAATGACACTTCATTTGAAGGCAGAACTTTGATGTGGATTTACATCAGTCTGTATGGGGTCCTTCCCCTGCCTCGGTTTGCTCTCTACAACATTATTTACTGAGGAGAGATTCTAAAAATTTCCAAATGTGTTAGTTATTTGAAAAGCAGTCGAATTTAAGCCTTAGTTTTTCCAAAGGTGGCTTGTTCCTTTATCTGCAGAAAGGAGAGCTAGTCTGGCATGGGGTAGACACTCAATATCAACTTCCAGAGCTAACGAGGGCAGCTAGTTGTGTGATAGAAAGCTGAGATAGAAAAAGATAAGTGACAGTTGATTTTCAATGTACAATCAGTGTCCTGGAGTCCACTTCCAATGTGTGCATCCTTCACCTCTGCATTTTAAGGAGATCATGTAATTTTTTTTATGAGACACTTCTAGTAAATATACCCTTGAAGAAACTGACCAAAGAAAATTCTCATAATTGTAGAATAAGACAAAAGTATAGTTTTTCACCTCTTTGAAGAACAGATTCATAGAAACCTGGATCTTATGTATGTCCATACTTTTTATTCAGGTATGTTAATTTATAATAATGTCTTATTTAACATTTCAGTTTATACATTTTTGTATGTTATTTTCGTAGGAGAAAACATACCTATTTTCATGGAAAAAAATAATTAATATCTATTCAGAAAGTGTGAGTGAATTGTCTAATAAATTAAAAAGTGAAAAACCAAACTCAGAACTTCCAGTTCAAAATGCAGCGTTCCTTCCATGACAGAACACATGCCTCCATCATGAAAAGGGAGGAAAATATTGACCCAAATTTTGCAAGTACTTACTTTGTGTCAAATAGGGCAATGGGCTTCACACTTTATGTCATTTTATTTAATCATCAGAATTATGGAGAACGTATTATTTTCATTTAACATAGAAAAAGGCTAAAGCTCAGAGAAATTTTAAAAATGTGAAAAATCATGCAGCTAGAGTCAAATACAGGATTCAAACAAAACCCGGGTTCAAACCTGGGTCTGGATGACTCCAGAATGGAAGTTCTTTCTAGTGTCCTCCATCTAATATATGGATTTAGATATTTCCTTATTCAAAAGTTTTTAAAAAAATTTTTCTTAGACAAATGCCTTAGTAACACCTAAGTATTCTAAATATTCAATAAGTATGTTTTTTTTTATGGCTAGGGAAAGAGAAAAAAGAGGAGGTTGTTGCATACCGTAAAATAATATCATCTCATTTTGGTTCATTTCTTTTTTGGATTTACAGATGAGGTGAGGTTTTCCTGGGTGCGCCTAAGCTGAAAATTTTAGCGAGTAGCACACCACTGCAGTGATTACAGAGCAGTATTTATATTCTTCTTGTGCACTGGGCAGGGATTTGTCATTTCATACATCATTTACAACTTGCTGCAGTGATTTTGGTGGTGGGGGAGGTTAGGATGGGCATTCTCTTCTCCTTGAATCCAGCATTGCTCCAACTTTTTCCCCTAGGTTTTCTCTTTTCTACTGAGTAGACAAGTTTAGTCTACTAATAAATCTCTCAGTCCTTAAAACTAGGAGGATCTTTTTTTAAGTTAAGTTTGCAAGCCATGCATTCTTTTAAGAATTCATGCCTGGAATTTCAGAGAAGTATCTAAGTTAACAGTTTTGTATAGTCTATGAAAACTCTTAGTAGCTCATGGTTTAAAACAAAGTATGATCCATGAATTCAGGTACGAAAGAGAGATCGTTTTAGTGGTATTCTAAATTTAAATATAATTTAATATTAGCAGGATGTAAGCTTTAAAAGTTCTGTTTTTAAGTTTTGGGCTTGTTGTATACTATGGATTATAAAATAAAACTGTTTACTTCATGGATAGTCCCAGCTTACCTTTACTGATTCTGAACTGGTATGTTTGGAAAATAGGTACCTAAAGTTGTTTTCTTAGGGACTTATCCATATAGCATATTCAAGACATTAAGGAGTTATCTATATTCATGCTTATCAGGGAAATGTAAAGGTTTCATAGCTTTTGAGCACCTGAACATGGAAGAGTTTACTGTTGTAGACTTGGGGTACCTGGGAAAGGCTAAGGGCAGCCCAGGGCAGTGAAGAAGGAGGTATTCTATTTTGTAATGAGATGGCATCTCTCCTCGTAGGTAAGCCATTGCACCTGAAGACAATAGCCATTAAATCATTATCAATTAAACATATACTCATAGTCTGGGAGAAAAGCAAGTGGCAACAGAAAAATTCAACTTGCTGAGAGGTCATATTCCAGGAGTCTTTGAGTAGGCAATATTTCTAGATCCAAAGGTAATTTACATCATCTCTACTGCTACTGAGAACCAAGGCACATGGATAGGGCTCCCCAGCCAAAATTCCATCCATCTAAACACTGTTGGTAGAGACAAACACACCAATGTATACACTAAAAATAATTCCTGAATTCATATTATTTTCCAGTCACTGTGCTCAACACAAAAGGTAGAAAAATGTATTAAAACACAGGCCTGTTCTTCCCAGGAACTCCAAGACCCTTGATAGTAGTGGTTATGATGATGAAGTGATAGTAATAGCTAGCATTTATTGGTGGCTTAATAACTCTGAGATAGTCTTATAAGCTCTTCAATTTTCAGAGTTCCATGTGGTGGATAATATTATTTTAACATTTAGTTTTCCTAATTCTATGAAGTAAGTGTTGTGAGTAGCCTTATTTTACCCAGTTGAGGAAACTGAGGCAGAGAAGTATTAAATTTACTCACAATCACACACCTTGTGTTTTTGGCTCCAGATTCTGTGAGCTTGACCAGTATGCTGTATCTTCAGATTGCTATGTGGATTCTTATACATAGGACTAAGGAAACAAATGTGGGGGCAGGGAAGGAGTACTACTAAAATTTCACAAAAAAATGAATACATTTGATGTTTCATGTTCTAATATGCACAAACTCAGTTAAATTGTATTATAATTTTAACATTCTTGGTATGCCTTCTTATGGATAACTGGGTTTGGTTATTGCATATTAGTTCATGAAAATATTAAAGAAATAGTATAATCTTATGGTGTAAGAATCTAACAAAAGGCAAACTGAGTTTATCTCAATAATTCCAACAAAAAAAGGCAAAAAATAGACCAAAATTTTAACACACCATATGAAAGGTTAATAATAGAGTGAGATAAACATGCATTTCCTTTTTTCTCAGACTAAAAGTATGCAATTCTGTGAAGGAAAAACAAAGAAGAGATAAAATAAATTCAAACTAAAATAAATAATATTTTTAAAGGCCTGAAGGTGGACAGTGTTTAGGTGTCTCTTGTAGTTCAGAAATCTGTGTGATATTAGTGTTCAAACACCCATCACTTTCTCTATTCCATTGAGACTGATAGACCTTTGTTAGAAAGTCATTATTATCCTGCTCATCAAAAAGCACTATTGAGCACTTAATTATGTGTGGTATTATACTTGATGCTATATGACAAATACTACATAGATATGGCTCTTAATTTTTACAACCTGAGAATTTAAAAGAATGGGGTGTTTTGCAATATTACATTTGTTAAATAGTTAAATAATGGCCTTTATTGCAAATGTTAGAGGTTATACTCACAGCATATTTGAGAAATTCTCATAGCTTATAATGCCTACTATTCTTTCAACCTCAGTATACTATACCAAAACATTCTATTATATTCAAAGAAAAATAAAAACTATTGTATTCTGAAACATATACAATCGGGATTTTTTCAAGAGTGTTTTCTGTAACAGCAGTGCCAGGCAGCTAGTGTGCTAAGAAGTTGAAGATACACATAATAGAGAGAAGAATGTTGTGCTGATTATTTAAGACTGAGAATAACTTTTTTATTGTTTATTCACTATAACCACTCCTAGGTCTATCCCAGTTCCAAACTGTGGGAAAGAATTTAATGAGTAGAAATTTTGTTTGTTTTTTTAAGGTTGGTGAATGTATGTATTCGGAGTCTAAGAAAACTTGAGAATAAATGGTTTAGGTAAAAATGAAATTTCAGGATAGAACTTATGTTTCTGTTTTTCATAATTGCCTTTAAATGGTAATTATTTAATTGGTGAAATAAGTGATAGTGTATAATAAACAAAATTTGTTATTAGAAAATTGTACGATAAGAAAAACAAAGATAAGAATGTAAGATAATATTGACAATGAGACTACATACAAAATTTATAGAATCACAACTTCTGCTGTTTATGATGGAGTAACATGGACCCTCCCAACTTAAACAACAAGAAAGTGGACAAAATGTAGACATAATGGTTTTTCAGCACTGGAAAATAGGTAATAAATTATGTGATTCTTATAGCTATCTAGATTTCTTCCTAGGGCAGTTCCTAGGCTGTAGCAAAAAGGAACCTAAACACTCTCTTCTCAAGGTGAAGAGACAGAGATTAGAGTTTGGGAGGCCAAGATTGCCAGAATTCACAAAGCAGAGTACCAGACAGTAAGGAGCTTCACACAGAAGGAACCCTGGAGATCTGTAAATGAGTGCCTTTAACTCTTCATGAGTACCAATCTATGCATACATGAGAATAAATTACCCATGTCCACAGAAATAAATATTAGGAATAAGCTTATAAAGCAATTCCTGGTGGTCACACAGGCCCGGTAATAG